GCATAAATATTACCATGAAATCCTACCACTTAAGCATAGAAAATATCTTACAATAAAACTTGAAGAAATCTTGGTTGAAAAATGGATTGAGAATGCTAGACTTTAATCCTTTCTTCTTCACGTCAATTCCTTTCCAAAAACAAGTGATATCCTGATTTTTTTTTTCTTGCAAAGTAACTAAATGGCAGTAACATGTCTTATTTAAATGTAAAAGGAGTAAAGGTGACTCTTAAACCATTGCCTACACGTGTGTTGCATGAATGCATTTCATAATCTTAACTTAACACCTCATGCTTAAGTTTAACACCTCAAACTTGCCTTAGCCACCTCCTACTTGCTTATTACTACAAAGATAACATTTATTCTTGGTCAAGTGGGGAAAAAATCTTTAGTAACTAGGTGTAAAATTTGATGTTTAATCCCAAACCCCTAATTAACTAATTTGGTAAAGTTTTAATAAATCAACCAATGAAAATTTAGCAACCATTAATAATTTTGGCCATATTAAATTTTGAAAAGTTTAATTGCTATCCTAAAAATTAAATGAGCAAATTAAACGTGCATAAAATTTCGGAGTATTACAATCTAAACCCCCAAAATCGCGCTGGTGGTCTGCTTCGCGCTTGGTGGAACTGCTTCGCCGGATAAATGCCGTCATCGCTGTGAATTCGGTGGTGGATTGTTGCCGTAGGCGGTGGTCCACCATCCAAAACCATAAAAGCGCGCTAGCATTCTGCTTCATGCTAGGTGGAACTGCTTCATCATGTCGACGTCGTCGTCGTTGTGAGTTCGACAGTGGATTGTTGACGTGGGCGACGGTCTCCGACGATGGGCGGCGACAGTGGAGGTGTCGATCGAGTGGAGAGAGTGAAGAGAGAAGATGGAGTGACGTGAATTTAGGGATTGGAATTAGATTAATGGGTTGATATATTTTATTATTAATATTAATAGTTAAATCAATACCTGAATTTTGAATAAAAAAATCTTCCCCCTTGATTTTTGCATTGTGATCTTTTAAGTGTCTGGGATTTTTTAATTTCCACTTGTAATTTACCAAAACTCCAAATAATGGGCTTTTGTCGTGATTATTTTACATAATGGGCTGACATTAAACAGTGCATGAATGTAGGTCTATTGGCCTCAACTAAGCAAATAAGAGATAGGACAATTTCGACACTTAACATATTCAATCATGACTTTTTAAGATTTTGAGCGTGTTTGTAAGGATTAAAATTAGCTTTAAGTGTCTGGGATTTTTTAATTTCCACTTGTAATTTACCAAAACTCCAAATAATGGGCTTTTGTCGTGATTATTTTACATAATGGGCTGACATTAAACAGTGCATGAATGTAGGTCTATTGGCCTCAACTAAGCAAATAAGAGATAGGACAATTTCGACACTTAACATATTCAATCATGACTTTTTAAGATTTTGAGCGTGTTTGTAAGGATTAAAATTAGATTTTTTAGTTGATTGTAATAGAAATTTTTGAAATGTGTCATTGAAAAATTATAGGATCCATAAAAGATGTTATTAATATTTATTGTTTGACTTTAACTTAAATTAAAACCAAATTTTAATCTGAACTAAACAAGCTTCTTATAAGAGTCTTGAGTTATTTAATAGTTAATACACATTTTAAAAGTTCTTAAAAGTCATGGCGTATTAATTAAGCATTTTATGGAAATCTTCAAAAATTAAGGTTATTCAAAATTAATATACCTTTTAATAACTTTTATAAAATATTTGATGTACTAACTATTAAACAGAAAGCACAATACAAAATCTCATAAAAAGTTTTTCATTCACTCCACAAGATTTTGAAAAATTAAAAAATAAAAATAAAAATCTTTCCATCTATAATATTCCTCTTTTTTTTCCCCCTAACAAAAATCAATATTTTTCTCTTGTCAACTTGAACAGGATTATTTGAAATAAGGATCTTGACTAAGTTAATTTTAATGTAAACGTTCATTATTCTACCTAGTATATTAAGGCTCCGTTTGGTATCCATTTTTGTCAAAATACATTTTTTTCTCTCTTCTTTTTAATTACACATTCTTTATTAAAATTATATTGCACGTAAATAAAAGACTTTTCCTTATTTTTCAACCACACATTTTCCATCAATTTACTATTCGAAAATACATTTTTACATAAAAATGGCTCACAAACACCATCTAAAATAAAGTATTTCGTAGAATTTAAATAACATCAACACTCAAAGAATACATATATTAATTGGAAACATATACACTTGCAATGTGTATGTAAACCTTGCTCAAAGCTTCATCTTAATATTTATAAATAAGGAAACGAATAAAGGAAAAATACAATTTAATTATCTATTTCGCCCGACATGGTCCCAATTACTATTTTAGACCTTGATGGGCTCAATAAACAAAGAAATGATGTGGGGTTTTAAAACTTTTTGGGGTTGTGTGTATCCGTCCTCGTTGCCCTTGTAAGTGACATCTATAATACGTTCAAGGTTGAGAATTCGCATTAAAATTTCTCTAGAAGATGAAGATGGTCGAAGACACTCTTCATTGATGTCCTTCCATGCATTTGTAGCCATTTCGAAAAATTTATCAACAGCTTCTTCTTTTGTAACACAATTCTCCTTCATGTATGATTCAATGCCAGTAGCAATTTGCCCCCTCTCCTTCTCAACCTTCAATAACAAAATTTAAAGAATGCAGTTCGATAAGAAACATAGAGTTTCTTGTTTTCCTTTATAAACAACTTTGAATTCATTTCATACCTCATAAGTAGCAATGTCATCAACGAGTCGACATATTATTAAGCTTGCAACGAGCATTTTTGGTTTATTGCTTAGCCATTCAAATTGTTCCTTGGTGACGGATTTCACCCCCAACAAGGATGTTGTTGTATGATAAACGTAAGTGCACGTGATTAAGGCGTTGCTCATGTACTCAGAAAATGGCGGTAAGTATCCTTCAATGAACCACTTGGCTTCCACATAGTAAGTCCTCACAAGTTCTTTCAACTACATAAACATTAGTTGACATTTGTGTAAGTTAACTAGAGGAAATTAAGTACAAAAACATAATAAGAAACATAACATAACATAGTTGATTAATCATAAAATATAGTACATACAGCTTCTTTTGCATAATAGATTGCATAAGAGTTTCCTTCTTTTGATAGTTCTTCATCAAACTGCTCATAAAGATTGAGAAGAGCACTGTAGAATGGTTTGATATACTCTGGTAGCCGATCGATTTCTCTAATATCCCACCTGAAAAGGCAAGAAATTTTGTTAGTTACGATATTGAATAAATGATCGATTGCTTCAAGAACTATTTTGTATTACTATCGTGGATACATTTAGAAGAACGAAATATGTATCCATGTACCTCTGAATTGCCTCCGTAAAAACTTCTAGTTCTTCGACTGTACCGTAGGCATCATACGTATCATCTATTATTGAAGTCATTGCAATGGTTTTTGTGAGCATGATTCGAGCAACTGAATATTGAGGTTCATGATACACTCCCATAGCCCAGAAAAAACATTCTACCACTCTGTCTCTAGCATACGGAAGTATAGACACAAGGTCCAATTCTTTCCACCACCTGAGGTAGAAGTCAAAAAAATTTATTTAAGTAAATCCGCGCCATATCGTGCGTGTATAAGTATTAAGAGAGTCATTCTTTCACTTTTTGAACAAAAATGTTACCTTGAGACTTCATAGAGCTCCTGTTTGTGCAGCATTTGCAAGTAATTATAGTCTAATTTGGCAAACCTCAGCAGCACTTCATTCTTGGATTCATCTTCTTGGTAGATGGAAATAAAATTGTGCGCCTCAATTCTCGGATTCCCAAAATGGAAGCATTGCACGAGGGCATGAGCTATTTGTTTGCCAAGGGGAGATGTTAAATCTGGTGTCATGGATTTGAGGTTCTCTGTTGCGAAAGCAAGAGCATCTTCCAGTATATCTTCTCCATGTACTCTTAAATATGCAGCTTCGTATAGGCTCAGCAAGCCCCTTGCATCACTCTTAATAGTCTCTTTGAATTTTCCATTCTCGTCTACAAACTTGTCAAACACACTACAAGATGCGCGGTAGCCATGTTGTCTGAATAAACGAAAATGAAGTGCAACAGTGTACAAGTCATAGGCTTCATCAGCATAATTTGAGTTGAGATTAAAGAAATGTTCAAGAAGTTCTTCAATCTCATCTTCAAAGTGATATGATATGCCCAAGCGCTCAAGTGTTTCAATCAAATTCATCGTCTCCATCATGTCTTTTTCAGGAGCTTTCAGCAAGCTTCTCACTTCATTCTTTAAGCCTTCAATTTCCTTTGCATATTTTTGTGCTAACTGTACGATTTCACAATTGCAACATGTTATAAGCCAACCGTGGTTTATCTTCGAGAAGAAACTTTTTGTTCATTTACTTCGTTTGTAATTGATGTAAGTTAAAACAACACATAATTTACAGATATTATTAAGAACTTTTTCGAACATTATACGCTTAAAAATGTTGCAAAATCCAGGAAATTCTTAACACATGCACACTCCACAATATATAAAATCCATTGAAAAAAATAAATGGATCAATACCTCATAATCAAAAGCAAAATTGATAAACTGTTCACCCCATAAGCTGGGAGAGAAGTTGGCGACTGGACGAACAATCTCCTTTTCGCAGTTGATAGCATTTTCGACACCAGCTGAGGCCATTCTGATTCTCTTCTGGTAGATAGAAGAAGAAGAAGAAGAAGAAATCTTATATGGTGAAGTTAATTTTGAAATTTATGAACTCTAGCTGAAGTTGATGCTGGTGATCATATACTAATGATTTATCTCCTATTTATAATAGAAATGAAGGGGGTAAGGTGGCAACTATAATATTTTTAAGGTGATCATTCTTGACTAGAATAGTATAGACTGGCGTCTTTACACTCTCTTTGTTTATCTTTGTCAAATATCTTTTTAGTCTTAGTCAATAAAGATAGCTATATAAAATTTACATTATATTTATTGTATATATAAAAAGAAAAACTGGCATATGATCCATAAGTTTACTTCATTTGCTGGTGGAGTTTCATTAGGTGGATTGTATGCCTATTTCTTATTTTGCACCTTATTCGTGCATTAATAAGAGTTAAATTTCATTATTATTATTATTATTATTATTATTATTATTATTATTATTTTAAAAGTTTATTAATATAATCCTCCTCAGAATGAATTCAATACCATTCAAGGTAACGATGAAAGTCATTTAATACAATATCAAGTCTTTTTTCAAAAAAATAAACATCTATATATGCCTAGACGAGGGCTATGGTTTTTATACCTTGATGGACGGTTTGATATTTATTAACTATTTGTAAACTAATAGGTCATTTTTAATTGTGTTTGAAAAGTAAAAATGATTTTTTTTAAAGAATTATACTAAATATTTAAATTTTGTATAAACTATGATAAAAATAAATTTAAGAAAAAACAATGCTCTCAACTAATTAAAAATATAAAAATGTAAAAATCTTAAGAAATGAGAAAAAAGATTAATTTTGCTAGGCTGAGGGTATTGGATATGGCGCCCTGTCTATTTTCTTGTCAAAATACCTTGTTTAAGTGGTTTTTTTCAAAAAAGATAGTTTAATGTCCTTTAAAATAAAGATAAATTTAATCATCGATGTATGAACTATTCCTCGTATTAAAAAAAATCACTTTTTAATTTGATCTTGATTCTTTGTGATTACATCGGCAAAATCCTATGTCCAAACCCACCAATTGCCACGAAAATCAAGATCCACAAGCGAGAAACACAACAAAGAAATTCCTACTTCCATTTACAAGTAACACAATTTCAAATATGTCACCCAAACTCATAATTGATCAAATTAAAAATTGAACTATTGATGTTAAATTAAAGCGAGCTCTTTTTAATACATAAAATGGAGAGATATATTTATATATTTATTGAATCCACCATGATCAGAGTTATCATACCCGACTTGATTGTTGACCTGGATATATTATTGGATCTCAACTGTTGGGTCAATTATTCGATTGGTCGTTAATTGATGGACCATCTATCGAAATAAAATATATTTTTAGATATATTTGCTACATTATTAGTGAGAAGTTCATATTCGTCTATTAGTAAAGCACTTGTACTAAATGTAGCACAGAAACACGATTCGAGATTATTCAATGCCGCTCAATTCATTTTTCTCGATTCCCATTTTCCTTACACTATTATGAATTTTGTCTTGTAACATTTTGCTGACTAAGACTAAAGATATTAGAGGGATAAAAAATGAGAATAATTAAGATGCCATTCAATACTGTACTCTGTAGTCAAGAATGACAATTCAATAAAATATTTCTGGTAGCGACATTTCCCCACTCATTTCTACCATACAAATAGAGGTAACTCTTTAGTATTTGATTACCAACATCAACTTCAGCTAGAGTTAACTCTTTAGTATTTAATCATCAGCAGCAATTTCAGCTACAGTGTATTTTCAACATAAACTGCACCATATAATATTTATTCTTCTTCTATATACTAGAAGATAATCAGAACGGCCTCAGCTCTGGTTGAAAATGATACCAACTACGCAAAAAAAAAAAAAATAATAATAATAATAGTTCGTCCAGTTGCAAATCTCTTTCCCAGCTTGCGGGGCGAACAGTTCATCAATTTCGCTTTTGATTCTGAGGATTGACGCCTTTATTTTTTCAATGGATTTTATATATTTGTGTGATTGTTGTCTGTTCCAAATTCCTGGATTTATCTGTAGATTGTTATATGTATGAAAGATTGTTTTTAAGTTTTAAGTACAGCAACTAAAAACGGAGGAAGTAAATGAACAAACAAAGTACAATTTACATGTAAAGGATCTTCTCGGAAATTTACCTGGTTGGCTTAATTATAACATGTTGCGCTTGTGAAATCGTACAGTTAGCAGAAAAATATGCAAAGGAGATTGAAGGGTTAAAGGATGAAGTGAGAAGCATGCTGAAAGCTCCCGGAAAATACATGATAGAGACGATGAATTTGATTGAAACACTTGAGCTCTTGGGCGTATCATATCACTTTGAAGATGAGATTGAAGAATTACTATAACTTTTCTTTAATCTCAACTTAAATTATGCAGATGAAGCTTATGACTCGTACATTGTTGCACTTCATTTTCGTTTATTCAGACAACATGGCCACCGTATATCTTGTATTGTGTTTGACAAATTCGTAGATGAGAATAAAAAATTCAAAGAGACTATTAAGAGTGACGCAAGGAGCTTGCTGACTCGCTGAGCCTGTACGAAACTGCATATTTAAGAGTGCGTGGAGAAGATTTACCGGAAGATGCTCTTGCTTTCACAACAGAGTCTCAAATCCATGACACCAGATTTAACCTCTACCCTTTGGAAAAAAATAGCTCATGCCCTCCTGCAATGCATCCATTTTGGGAATCAGAGAATTGAGGTGCACAATTTTATTTCCATCAACCATGATGATGAATCCAAGAATGAAGTGCTGCTGATGTGTTGTGATTCGAACCCTAAACCTATTGCGGTGAAAGTGTGCTTCCAAAATTTTATGTGATGAAAGCGTGTTTTACTTATTGACAACTCTTTAAGTGATAGCATACAACTGAATCATTGGCACATGGCGCCTTCATAACAATTGGATGTGTCTTCTAGACTCTTCTGATTTATATCTCCAAGTGATGCTTCAGTTGGGAGATCGATCCATTCTGTTGATAGATTAAACTTATGAGGACTTGATATGTGGGTTCATTGAAGGATGCATATTGCCATTTTCTGAGTACATGTACAATGTCTTATGTCTTGTTCACATGCACATACGATTATAATACAACAACTGTTGGGAATCTACTTATACATGCACAGCGGAAAATTATCTCCAATGTTTTGTTCTATAACAAACATCCACGTGTTCATTTAAGTGTCACCACACTTTAACTTGTGAGATCAGCCACTTACTTCACAAGTAAGAAATGCCACACGTGATGGTCTATCCGTAATAACGATATCCGTATCTCGTTATTACTTACGACCACGGATGATTTAAGATTCAATCAGATGTAATTTGTATCTCACAATCACAACTCCTTGTGATTAATAAATTACAAATATTTGAATCTACGGACTCTATTATTTATTTAATTGTCTATTAATTAAATAATAGATCTGCCATTTAATTGCATTAATTATATATAAAAGTATTTATGTCCAAAGTCGATTGGACCTAGGGCATAATACTTACAACAACATCCTTGTTGGAAATGAAATCTATCTCCAAGGATCAATTTGAATGGCTAAGAAATAAACCAAAAATGCTTGTTTCTAGCCTTGTAATATGTCAACTAATCGATTTACTAATAACAGTTAAAAGTATGACCATTTAAAAGAACAACCACGCCGTTAAGATTTAGTAATATAATTATAATGATTTTAAAGAAAAGTAATTAAACGATAAATTAGGAATTATGAAATATATGTAAGGACATTTTTTATGGTCCAAAAATAATCTTTCTACCAATCATATTTATTACATACGTATCCCAATATACTTAGCATATAAATTTTTAAATACACAGAAAGGAAAAATACACATTGATTATGTTTGTTTATTTTCTTGAGGCCATTCAATAGGTTTAGCACCTTTTTCTTACGCAATTAACATTGTGCTATGTTTCAAAATTTATCTAAATTATAATACTATATAATCACAAATTCATATATAATATTTAAAAATAACGTGCTACGCAAGTTTGTTGGTTATAGGTAGAATCACATGTTTCACATGTGTACCATACCAACCTGTTTCGCGCGGATAATCGCTAACAATTAAAAAGGAGTTAGACGATTGTGTAAGGAACAAACCTCTTGAGACAAAGTCTCAAAAAGGGGTGTTTTATTGGCGACGACCTTACAATTGGAACTTTAAACAGAATGCCTCCAAGGGGCGCAAGCACACAAGTGTTGAAAAGAAATGTTTTAAATCTAAATTAAGAAATTGAAATTACATATTTTCCGTTTGAGAGTGTTTGATTCGGGGTCCTTTGCTATATATCTTTTCTTTCTTTTATATTCCTTTGATGCTCTCTTTGTGATCAACCGCTTAGAAATTACTTAATTACTTTATAACTGCCCACTTTCTTCATGGTGGCCAACTTATCGTGGAACTGCCGTCTCTAAATACTGCCACTACTTTTTGTCGTTCAACCGTCTTCAACTGAACTCCTTGAATCGTGGAACGTGATAAGATTACCCAATAACTGCTTCGATAACTGCACTTTTGGATAACCATAATATCTTATATTTGCTAAGATCCTGGGCGATTCGAAGGTTTGGGCAAGAACAGGGTCATAACTCTAGGCGACTGCAAGTCACTTCATTCGCTCAAATCTTGGGCGTCTTGCAAGTTTGGGCGATGGTGTTACCGCGTTCGTGGGCTTGCACTGCATTCATTAATAACCTTATTTGGGCTTTTATCCTGAATTGCCCAGTTGGGCTTCATTCTTTGAGCTATTCGAATTGGGCTGCACTTTTAGTGTGTCAACAATTACCCCCCAATATGGCAGAATTAATACCAATTATTAATTTTTGCCATATTCACTTTGTGTTTCCTAGCAACAGTTGAAATTATCAAGAATTTCAATCATTATTTTCTTCCATAGCCTGAAAAGGAGCGACGT